GCTTGTAATTGGAGAATAATCCAGTGATTGTGATCACTTTCATGCTCTACAAGCCAGTTTCAAACAATATGAACATGATGGTTATTGAATTATCATTAGAATGGAAATAACATTGTTGGGTGGAAAAAATACAAATTTTTAGATGTACAATAAATATATTTTCAAATATTTACTGGTTTCTATCGTATTTGTAATATCCAACAAAGAAAATTTTGTGTTTATTTCCCCCTTCTATTAACCCTATTGCCCCAGGTATCTTTTACTGCGCATGACACAAGGTTTTAGTGTCTTATATTCAAAATTTTATTAAACTACTTTTTGTTTATGTTATACCAATTAGTATAGCACAAAATCTTAGCTAAAAATCTATATTTTAATAGTATACAAGTTTTAAGTTCTTAATTCTACAAAGGAATATTTATAAAAATCCTGAATTTCCACTATTGTGGCCCACGTGACACATTTTGTCTTAACATGGCATCATCCCTATTTTATCTATCATCTCTCAAAAATGTACAAAATTAAACGTAAATTACTCTCTATAAAGTCGTTATTGCTCAGACAAACCATAATTTTTATATTCTTCAATTTTGTTTGGTTACAGAGCTATCAAATAGAAAATCAGACCCCCTCCTGCCACACCCACCTATCATATCCTCTATCACAGTTCATTGATATTTCTTTCTTATGTTTCATTATATATTACCTATAACCAATATAAAGTCAAAGTTTTCATCTATCAAATGATGTACTGTATAATATTGTGTTCTGAACAGATAATTGTCAATTTCACACAGAGTAGCAACAACGTTCCTGTGGGAAAGTTAACGACTATCTTGGAGGAATTTGCAATGGCTCTTGTTGCATAGTTAGAAAAACCAGGAAAATTTTGGAAGGTATGTTACTAGTCTATATTCTTTGGTGCATTATTTAATTCAATAAAAATTATTAAGTGCATTACCATCTATAGTATAATATATTAGGGTTAACTCTCTTCGAAACCCGACAGCATGAAAAAAAGATGATGAGGTAAGTACTTTATTTCTTGTTTTTTATACTTATTCTTTATTTATTATTGTAAAAGTAACTAAAATCTAAAAATATGGATCTCTAAGTTATTTAAGAGTAGATTAGGTAAAATATGTAATAGTAATAATACAATTAAAATGGTTCACGAGGCATATGGATAATGTAATTTGATAGCGTAACGTGAGCTGCACGTTCCCCAAGTGATTTAAAACTTATAATGGTGCAGGTATTAGTTAGACACGGTTCAAAGGGTAATAAAATATAATTATAAATAGATGTAGGATAAATGAATGTAGTTTCATGTTATAATTTGAAGTCATTCTAGAAAGAAAAAAGTTTAATTTAGGTTTATTTCGATTATTTATTTTTTCATGGTTACGAGAGCGGTCGAATTGACTGATCCCGTTTTGTAATAGAGTAGAGAAAATAACAGATAAACTATAAAGTTTCACTGAAAAAAACGTGTGAAATGCATTTAGGAAGTTATAGGGATTACACAAAGAAAATTTGAAATTTTTGATATGAGGAAAAGTATTTTTAATCTTAACATGAAAATTACTTTGCACATGGACTATTCAAAACAAATACTTAATATATATTCATGGACACATTTTTATTTTATTATAATAAAAATACTTCACTAAAAAATGAGTTTTTGTATGTGAAAGACTGCTAAATTTTGTGAATATATACCCACTATATTAAGAGTGAGTTATAAGTATTAAATCTATAAAGACTTTAAACGAGTACAATAAAGGTCATGTGGCCTGTCAAATTGACTGGGCACTTATTAAAAGTGTTAGTTGACTTAAATCATTACCGCAAGAATATTCCCCACACTATTACTTCTTCTCTAGCAGCTTGAGCTGTCAAAACAGGGTTTGGCAGTTCATGGTTTATCACCTTATTTTTACTCTATAGTCAGTACAGAGAAAGGGTGAAACATTTATGAGAAGGCATTACATTTCCCATCATTCATTGTTTACAGCTCGCATGCTAGGAGGATAAAAAATTTACCAAACAAAACGCTTATCATTTTATTCAATCTACAGACGTTTTTTTAGTGTTAACTTTCTATTCGTGAATTTTATTCTCATTGGAAAATATTTTCATAAATGTATTTTTGAAAAAAATATTTTTAAGTTGACTTCTTTAAAAGCTTATTAGTCAGGATGAATCTGTTGCTTGTCTTTCCTAGCCTACCAATTTCCAGAATTCTATTTTTCTTGCATAAGTTGGCTATTATAAACACCCAGTATTGTCTTGTTTTGAACCTTTCATTGTGAGAAATTTGGATTTTTATTCAAATACATTATTTAAGAGACAGACTCTAAATTATTATTTAATTCTTGGAACTTCAGATTATCATAATTTATTTACTTTTCTGAAATGTCAACTCTTTTTTTATGGATAGATACTTTTAACAACATCCAACAGGCCACTCCAGTTCACAATAACTTCTTGTATGGGTGCTACTTCCAATGTTTAAAGTCATTTGTTCTCCAGGTTATAAATTCCCATTATATTTCTGGCTCTTCTTCTTCTTTTGTGTGTGTGTGTGTGGAGCAAATGTTGTCATCCTTGTTATTTGGTATAATGATTGATCAAGTAAGAATGATCTGTCAGAATAACTTCTGGTACAGTTGCTACTGATTTAGCTTAGTATGTGGTGGACTATTTATATAGACAACTGATTTTTTATAGGACAGTCAATAAAAATTGCATAGTAGCTGAACCAAGGCATTTCTGTTATACTTAAATCTAACACCACATCATTTGTATGAAACTTTGCCTTGGAGTTTGTTCTATCTTAAGAACATCTCATGTGCTTGTATTGTCATTCTATTATTGCCTTGATGTGCTTTAACTTTGGGCATGGATGAATATATAATTATCTTGTAACATGTCTCATAGGGTCTTCATTTTCAGATAAATGCACAGTTTCTTTATATGTGAATTGAGAGTTTCTGAGCAGGGTTACTCTATTTATGACTGATCTTGGCATTTTTTGGTTTCCATTTCCAAACTTTTTTACCCAAGCTGTAAGTACTTTCCTGAAGTGTACATGACATTTAATACCCACTGTCATCAGTTCAGGGGTACATGACATTTAATACCCACTGTCATCAGTCCAGGGATACATGACACCACATAAAAGAGCTTTTCTTTTCCCTTTTTTTGACACTGTTTTCTTTAAACATTGTGAGAACTTATGCACTGTATAGAATATACATATTTACAATATTTACTAAATTTTATGATAATCTTCATCCATAAGTGTGCTATCATTCTTTGTTGGTCTGAGATGGCAACTGGAAAGGATTTCAGAATATTGGAAATGTTTTTGGTTTGTTTGGTAGTTAATATAATACTAAGTTATTCTAGATATTGGAGTGTGTATGCATGCTAAATGCCCTTCAGACCTCAAAAATCTCTATTTGGTTATTTGTTTGTTAATATTTACTTCCTAATATGATTAGTGTCTTTTTTAAATCCATTAGGTTTTTCCTCACTGCTGCCTGGGTTTCCTCAGGTGGAATTATAACTAATATGTAGGTTTTTATTTTGATCTTTTGTTTTTATGCAGTTGTACTTTTATATTGTATATTTTTTGTTTAATTATGATCAGTGCTTGAAGTGGAGAGAGAGCAAGATGGTTTGTGAAATGTTTGAAGCTGATTATTATATTTCTGTGAATTTTTTACTTATTATTATAAAAGTAACTAAAATGTAAAAATTAGAAAGTTATTAGATAAGATTAGGTAAAATAATGAAAAAAAATCTTCACGATGTTTACTCGTGCTTTATGCAATTTGATAAAGTAGCGTGAGTTTCATGGTCGCTGAGTGATTTCCAATTTGTGTGGAAAGATAATTAGGTAGTCACAGTTTGAAGGGCAATAAAATAAACAGATGTATACTGTTACAAGTTATAGTATGGAAACTTTGATGGTTACTTTGTTTTCGAACCGGGTCACATCGACCTAGCCTGTAATGAGAGGGCTCATTCACTTCATCTGTGTACTACTTTGTCTCATTCCTGCCTTGCTCTTGCATGACATTTAAAAAAATATATAAATTTAGTTTTCCACTCCAATCTCTTGCTGCTGTAAGTATTTATTTCATCGTCTATTAAGCTTTTTTCCTTTTGAGAAGCTTACAGTCTACTAAAAGGTAGCAGAATGGTTTCAGGCCCTCCTGAAAAGAAGTAGGAGGGCATCCTGCCCCAATTCAAGCACTGATTATGATACATGAGTTTCTGTATTGGAATGGCAACTATAACAGGAAACTATTGAAGGAAATTAATTGATTGACTCATGGTTTACTTTTCTAATGTTTAATTCAGCTTTTTTGAGGATATGTGATCCAAATGGGGATGTTCATTTCAGCATGATGTCTGGTGTAATCACTGAATCATGGGTTAATGTCAAAGCTGTATGTTAGTGTTTGAGAAAGGTAGGCTTTAACTCGTATGAAACTATGGTTGTTTGAACTGTGTTGTTTTTATGAGCTCTAAATTACTTTTATTAGACAAAGGTGAGTTGTTTTTATGAATTTTGTATTTGTTAAATTGGTAATTTGGGTGAGAATGAGTTTGCTTTTCAGTGTAGTAACACTCATTATTCATATTGACTTATTTTTCATTTTAGGCTTGAAAAAAAAAGTATGCTTAAAATGCTGATTTTCTTTTTTTTTCATCTTAGGCCTGGTGGAATACCAGCAAGGAATTCTCGAGGGGAACGTCTTCTGGTATTTCTGGGAATTATAGATATTTTACAAAGTTACCGTTTGAAGAAGAAGTTAGAACACACATGGAAGTCAATGTTACATGATGGAGTGAGAATTATGCTCTTTCTTTCTTTTAGCAATATAAAACCTAAGTTTGAGTTTTTGAGTTACTTAAAACTAACATTCTAGCTACTCTTATTTTACTTTAGTTTTATCTGTTAAACTATAATTGTAATAGTGTCATGTCTTTTACAGGAAAATGATGTTTATTAAGTCTCGTATTACAAGATCAAATATAAAGTTTGTCTTATCTAAAGACATTTACTAAGGTTTACTTTTTTTTCATCTTTAATGTATTTCAAGGCATTAATACTAATATTAATTTGTCGAAGTTGCTACCACTTATATAATGCCACATTCTTCTTTTTTTTTTTTTATCAGGATACAGTCTCAGTACACAGGCCTTCCTTTTATGCTCAGAGATTCCAGGATTTCATGGCCAAAACAGTATTCAAAAAAATTATGTCTTGTAAGTCATATAATTATCACTTAATTCATTGTTCATGTTTTGTTGAGTATTTTCTTCTGGTATGTTTAGTATGATTTATACATTTTGTTTATTTGAGTATTACTGGTTCTCCTCTTTATTCCTTTAATTTTCATTAGGGATATCCCGAATGTTTTCACTGTGCATTAGCAAGCTTATAAATACTTGAATAATAAATTCATTGATTAAAAAGTGTACAGATTTTAAGACTCCTCATCTTATTCATTTGAAATAGTTGAGAAAACAGTTTAACATTTAGCAATCTCTTAAGGCTTTTGACGAAGCATGTTTGCACTTCTTTTCAGATTTTATATTCCTTTATTGGCCAGTTTTACTGTGATTGTATTGTTAATGATCAAGTGGAAAAGTTCCACAGAAGTTTCATTTTTAATAGTGTAAATGTATACTGCATTATGAGTAGGTTTTCTGAAGATGTTCTAGATGAAATTAACACCTAAATAAGTTATCCAAATAACCCAATTCCAGTAATGCAGAAAAAACTGAAATGAACATTTTGATATTTTATATTATCTTTCGGCATTTTAGAACAAGGAAATTGAAATACACTTTTGACTTAGTGGTATAAGGTTTTAATGATACTTCATAAACTTCAGTTCTTTGGTGGTTGTGAAAAATGTTAAATGCAAATTCTCTTTCACAGGTATACTATTAATATTATTTTTTCTGCATAAAAGCTTTAATTTTTTGGACAAAGAATATTTGTTTCTTTTCTAGTAAACTCTGTTCATATTATTTAATTTAAATATTTCTAACTTGTTTCTTCTATTACTGACACATTTAAAAGCTATTTCAAATAGTAGTTGATATACTATATTTGAACTGCTTGTGTAGTCAAGTGTCATGAGAAAGTTTAAAGGATTTGTTTGGATATTTTTAATGCTGAAATCCATTTAACAATATAATAACATTTATCCTTTAACCTCTAGCATATACGTATTTGCTGGCTCTGAAATAATTGAAAGGTTATTTTTCAACAGAAGAAAAAATTATTTTAAATTTTGTAATTTTGAACTTTTATTTTTACTAACTCCTTGTGTCACCTTATTCTTTTTTTTATACAGTGCTTTAGCTAGTAACTATAAAGGAAAGTTGTACATTAAGGGAATTTGAATTTGCTTGAAATTTTATCACTGAGGTAATTAACACTTCATTAACATTGAAAGATGAAAGTGTAAAGTAACTTAGGATATGGATCGTTTAAATAATCTGTTGTGTCCTTTGTCAAGAATAACTCAGTTTGTGCACTTCCATTCCAAATACTAAACTTTCTGTCAGTCACATATCTCACTAAAAAGGCCCTTACTCCACATTTCTTTTTCTCTGCTATCACTACCACTCCTTGTGCCACCAAGTGGACCTGCCTGAAATCAAAGGCCCGCACCGCAAATTTAGAACCCTGGTGTCTAGTGTCATAGGTACGAACCTTCTCTCTTGATGTTATTAACTGTGCTGTTGGCTGTAAATGTATGTCAAAGTTTCCTGTAAAACCTTTCATTTGATTTTTCCTCTTCCTCTTACCTGTGTTAATGTACTTCTGAATGCGTGTGTGCGCACTACAATGATTGTAGATAACTTCTTTTTAGTGTTGCAGTTGGATATTTACCTCAAATTGAGATAATTCAGTACCTGAATGAGTATTGTGTTGTATTTTGTGTAATGCAATGTTTTGTGAAGTGTTGAGTTAATTGTTAACCTTAATGTTATGTTAGTTCTTACTTGGGTGTTATCTTTCCTTATTTGTAAGCCTGAGTCCTTGTTTGATTACTTTCATTACAAAATTACATCTAACACTTTTCCACACACATATATATCCTGAGTTTTGTTGAAACTAAATTGGATTTTAGTTTTAGGTAGAAAGTTGAAGTAACCATTGATACTTAAATTTCCATAAACTCTTTCATTGTAATTACTTGTTTTTAGTTTAATTTTCTCCAGGCTTTTAGAAAACAAATGTAACTATCATTATTTAAACATTTCATATATATGGGTGTGGATGAATGATATAGTTTTACTGCTAAAGAGGTAGTAATAGTATACTTATAGTTGGAAATTAGTAGTTAGAAACGAAATTTATTATCACAGTAAGTTATAATGTAGTTTAGAAAATGAAGTTATGATTGCATTTTCATCTTGATATGATTGTAATAATGTATGTAATTTGTATTTTAGTATTACGTTTATTACATTTTCTTTACTTTGTTAGTTTAATGAACCTACCAACTTCAGAGACTGTCTTACAAAATTAGAAATCAGGAACTGGAGAAAATAATTGTAGTTAATTGAAGTTAATTCATGTTTGTTATTCTTTAAGAAGATATTTAACTAAAAATAAACTTTTTGAACTTCCCTTACAAATTTTAGTGGCAAAAGAACTTATCAAAAGAACAGTCATAGTTCATTCCTGTTCCTGAAATACCTTAAAATCACAGGTATAAGAGGAGTATATATCAATAAATTAGTTTTAGTTGTGTTTTGAAAAAGTTAATTTGCAGACTTAGTGCAGATTGAAATTCCTTCCTTTGGCCAAGCTTGATTGATGAAGAGCTGCAAAAGTGTGGGTTTACCAATAAAAAAGGAGAAAATATTTTCATTTATCATAGCTTGTTGTTAGTAATGTAGAGCACTACAAACTTTTTTCTTTGCATTAACCCTCTTGCTATGGGTAGGTCTGTGTGAGCATGTCACAAACTTTTAGAGTTACATTCAAAATTTAATTGAACTACTTTGTTATAATAGTATTTGAATAAACTTGGCATCAAAACATAGTTAATGAACCAAATTTTAATATATAAATTTTAAATTCTTAATTTTTTAAAGGAAGTATTTAAAAAATCCCCAATCTCCCATAGTATGAGAATTGACATTTGTTTTCTAGGTCCTCCTCCTTCATTAATTTCTTTACCACTCCTCTAAAAAGTATAGAATTTAGTGTAAATTGCTCATTATAATATAGGTATTACTAAGGCAAAGCCTAATTTTTATAGCCTTCAATCTTATTTGTTTATAGAGCCATAAAGTAGAAAATCAGACCCACTTGCCACACCCACCTCTTACACAAATTGCCAGTAATTCTCTCTGATGTTTTATACTATATCGTCTATAACCAATAGAAAGCCAAAGTTTTAATCTACCAAATTATGTGTTATATTATACTGTTTTCTGTACATCGTATTGTCTATTTTGCTTCCAGTTTGAAACTTTCTTTTGTGTTATTCACATTGACAAGTTTAGCTAAATTTCAAAGGCTCTTACCACATAGTTATAAAGCCATATAAATTATGATAATTATAAGACATTGTTCACTTTGTGGATGTTATTATTGTGTATTCTTAGGTGCATTATTTAATCAAATAATTATTTAGTGTACTGTTACATCAGTATAAACAAAGTAGGCTTAACTTCCATCAGGAATTGACAGCAAAAAATCAAGAGGACACAGGTAAGTACCATATTTCTTTTTGTATGGTATTGTAAAAGTAACTAAAATGTAAAAATTAGAAGATTAGGTAAAACAATTAATTGTAATAATTCTTCACAAGGTATGCTTGCAAGCAGCTTGTGCATTACATAATTTAATATGGTAACTTAAGCTACGTGTTTGCCAAGGAATTTACAACTTGTATGGCAGAATTATTAATTAGACATAGGTCAAAGGGCAATAAAACAATAAAATTTAAGTATAAACAGATGTAGACTGTCATGAGCTTTAAGATATTTACAATAAACAATTGTAGTTTCTTGTTACAATTTGCAGTCACTTTAGAAAGAATTCATTTTATATTTTTTATGGTGGTTACGAAGACGGTCAAATTGACCAAATTGGTATAGAGTTAGGGTAGAGAAAATGACAGATAATATATAAGGTTTTACTGAAAAAAAAATTATTTTTTCAGGAAGTTTTAGAGATTACACAAACGAAATTTGACAATTTTCAGGTGAAGAAAATGGAAATTGCTTTGCATTTAGAGTAGTCAGCACTCAAACCATATATTCACGGACAAATTTTTAGTAAAAATACATAATTAAAAAATCAGCTTTTTCCTGTAAAAAATACTTGTCACGTTTACTTAAAGCTAGCCAAATTATGTGAAAATGCACAGAACACATTTAAAAGTTATAGTATGGAAACTGATGGCCAAACCAACCAAGCCTGTAGCAAGAGGGTTAAAGGCAAACAAGAAGTATCAGTGGATTGAGATTTGTACATATTTATCTGAAAATTTTTATAATACCATAAGTTTTGTATATTTTTACATGACAGAAAGTGCAAATTTTAAACCTTTTTGTGTCTTGCAGTTCTCTGACAGGAAAAGTCATATAGTATTGTGGAAGTAGAAATCTTAATAGCTAATGAACTTACACATTTTTATTGACAGAAGAAACTTTGAAATGTAGTATAGTTATCACAAGTGAAGGGAGAGAAGTACTTAAGAAATTCCATTAACTTAACCCTGTTAAGTGTCTCAGTAAAAGTTGAGTGGAAATATTGCTAAATGTTTATTGTAGAGTGTTTGAAAGGTAAAGGGGTTGCTAATAAGCTGATTGAGATGTGTGAAATCAAGCCTCGGGCAATCCTGAAAGATAGTTTTGATCAGCCAGGAGATAATTTATACTTGTAAATATCACATTTACTTTTATATGTGTTATGTTAATCAAATATTTTGAATAACTAGTTATTTGGTTATTGTAATTTAAAGTACTTACTAAATGACATGAAAGGTGTAAATAGATTGCATCATTATTTCATGGCATATTTATTTTAATTTTATAACTAAGACAATGGATGCCTTGTTTAAACTTGTGTGAAAAACATTACAAATTTTTCAGTTTTTATTTATGTCTATTCATTCAAATAGCTTTGTAATACCACATACACATTGAAATTTGCAGTAGTTTTTTTTCTTCTAATCACTGTTGTGAATATATTAGTTTTGTGATAGTATATTATGAAACATTACATCAGTTATCCTTGTTTTATTTCCTTATAGTTGTAATTCTCTCATTTTATTGACTTTTGAATTTGTGATAAATTTCATACTTGGTTTTGTTTTCATACTGCTTTTTGTAGTGGGGTAGGTGATTTTTTTATTCCATTGTTTTATGGATGTATTAATTTTAGTTTGATTCATTAAGACTTGCATTGTGAACTTTGTATATTGTCTTTTTATTTTATTTGCAATTTGTTTTATGTATTCCAAATTAATACTATTACAATAACATTTGAAAGCAGAAAATTTACTTATTCTGAGGTGTGTATATATAGTCTTGAATATCATATAATTATTATATTCTGGTAGTTAAGGTGCCATCTTTCCATAATGACAGGTAAACATTGATGCTGGTTTGATAAATCAAGGTAAATGTCAATATGTACCACCCTAGTGGTTTAAGGTGCACACTAACTGGTGCTGTCCTAATGGTTGAAAGTGCACATTGATATGTGCTGTCCTTGTGGTTTAAGATGTATATTGATTTGTGCTGTCCTTGTGGTTTAAGGTGTACATTGATTTGTGCTGTCCTGGTAGTTGAAGGTGCACATTGATTTTGTGCTGTCCTTATGATTTAAGGTGTACATGGATTTGTGCTGTCCTTATGGTTTAAGGTGTACATTGATTTGTGCTGTCCTTATAGTTTAAGGTGTACATTGATTTGTGCTGTCCTAGTAGTTGAAGGTGCACACTGATTTGTGCTGTCCTTGTGGTTGGAAGTGCACATTGATATGTGCTATCCTTGTGGTTGATGGTACTCTCTTATATTGTCCTATAATGTTCATTTAAGGAAGACGTGCATGTAAACTAAATGCAAAGTTTCCATGTTTAATATTTATATATTTTTTTAGATCATTTGGTAGTAGAGACTCGGGATATCTTATTTTTATCTTCAAAAATATATAGTTTATATTAACTAAAAATATTCACTGAATTTTACTCAACATTGGTGTAGTTATCAGATCTAGTAATTGTTTTTGGTCATAACATAGCTAATAGAGCAGTAACTGTAGGACAATATCCCATAATGATGTATGTATAACAGTTGCTTACATGTTTGGAAGCCAGGAAGAACTGTTACGTGGAGTTTAAGCATTTCTCACCATGGGTGTTAAATTTTTACCCATGGCTAAAAATACATATGTAATGTAAACTTTTAAAAATTTTGAACTTTGTACACAGCTTTCATATGATTAGTTATTGTTAACATCACGTAGGATTATTTTGCCATTAGTGAGGACTACCGCTTAAAAAAATCATTCCTTCATTTCAACTTTCCTTGGGCATGTTTGCTTATCTGAAGGGAAATACCACTAGCAACCTGCATTTCAACAGTTGTACTGTCAGTACAAAACATCTTATTATATAACAAGTTATAAGGCATTTCAAAGAATTAAATTTTCTTTAAGTTTACTTATGATGTACAATTTATTTAGTATTAAAAATAGATTATGCTATGATCTATGTTATTTTATGACATAAATTCAAGATTTAATAGAAGGATATTTACTTTAAAAAAAAAAGGGAATCATTTCCACTAAAAGATTGTATTTGGTACAGTATAGGAGACATGTATTGAAATAAATTTTCTAATACTCACTTTGGGTCAATGATTGAATCCCATTGCTGTTTGGTACTTTGATATTATAACTTCCATCATAGCAAGCGTAAACAACTTAAGCAGTGTTTGACAGAACAAATTTAGTAATGCTCATACAATGGACAGAACAAATTAGTAATGCTCATACAATGGACGGAACAAATTAGTAATGCTTATACAATGGACAGAACAAATTAGTAATGCTCATACAGTTGACAGAACAAATTAGTAATGCTCATACAGTTGACAGAGAGTTTTAAATTGATAAAAGATCAAATGAAAAACCTTCCAAAGCATTTTCCCTTTATTGTATGTAGTTACCTTTTTCTTTTCATGTCTGTTTAGCCATCAAAAGCATACTTCTATACACTGGTATATTGTAGTGTACATTAATTTTTTAAGTGGAATAAAATTGATGTTTATTTTTGTATTTTTTTCTAGCTCTGAAGCACTCCCCATCAAAACGCAAGGGACCATCTGTAAGGCACAGACCAGTATCAGCAGAAACTGACCAATCTAAGCCTGAGGGTGGGATGATATCCAAGTCCATTACACCTGGGGCTAGCAAAGGTAAATAATGTACAATCAAACCTCAAGGGAAGTGGCTAAATTGAATTTTTCATACAGATGACCTCTTAATCCTGGCTATTTTGTACAAGTCACAGTCTGTTATTGTGTTATATTCATTATTTAATTAAAGAACTTTATTATGAATGTATCAATAAACTTGGCATGAAAACATAGCTTATGATTTGAATTTTTACATTATTTAACTTCTTCTTTAACCCTTTCGAGCAGAAAGGACATGTCATCTTGTTTGTTGACTCACATTAAAAATTTTATTGAACTACTATTTCATGAATTTATGTCAATAAGTTTGGTAT